ATTAAGAAAATGGGAAAGAGTATTTTTGTGATGATTTCAATACCTGTTTGTCATATCTAAATAGTTGATAGATATGATTAAATAAATTTTTCAGTTTTCATCAATGTGGTATTGCAGAGTGACAACTGTAATGTAATTTAATTATTGTTATGGTTAGACTATTTTATTAGTTCAAACCTCTTATGCTTGGACTATTACAATTGCCTTCTATTTCAGCTTTCCGGATTTAGTCTCTCCATTATAATCTGCTCAGGAGTAACCTTTATAACGTGACGTTAAGGTTTTTCTATCACCTTCTACAATATGGTATAGAAAAGTTTTATGATATGGAATAGTTGTAATTATGTGTCATACTCATTTCTCTGCGCCTGTACTTAAAAAATTACCTTTCCCTAGATAGCTCCCAGTCCCTCCCAACTTCCATTTTACCAGTATTCATCCTTCATGGGTGAAGGCATCACCTCCTTTGGCATCACCTCCTTTTCTCTGTTTTCTGCACATGTCCCTATTATAGACTTTATCACCTCATTTGCTTGGTGTAGGAGAAATTGTCGGTGCCCTATGCATGTCCCTCAGAGCATTTGGTGTGCTCTGGCCAACTTCCATCTGCTAGTATCTACAGACTGACTCAATGCTGTTATATCAGAATCCGCAGAGGGAAATTGGTTATTTGCTTGCACTGGAGGCAAGAAGAACCAAAAATTTGCCATCCCCCTGCCTCAGTATAGCAGCCAATAACTCTCAGAATTTGGCATACAGATTTTTCAGTTTCATCGCTTCTTGAGAGGGATAATTCTGATGCATGAATTTGTACCTTTTCCTAGAATTTGCCCTTGAGATTACACTCCAGTTTTCTTTGTGATAGCTGGTTTAATAGCAATGCTGTCATTGGCAACCTTCTTTTCCTTGCATCATTTTCTCACTTCCCTATTAGTGTCACCTGAATTTCTCAAACAAACTATTTATACTTTAATATATTGTCTCCAGGTTTTTTCTTTGCAAAGCCACAGTAGGATATACACCACAGGTACTGGGTGAGGGATACGGGTGGAGCCTTCAGATGGGATTCTACAGTCAAATCACTTGCTGGCCAGTTGGCATCAAGCCCTCCTGACATGTTGTAACTTCACAATGACCAAGATTATCCCCTGTGGTGAACTGGAATGGCATAAAGGTATATGGGAAAGACTGAACTAAAAACCAGCCCCTGTGTTAGATTATAAGAGTGGCAGAACTGTAGAGAAGGCTTAAGGGCCTTAGCAGGGAAGGAGTATGACCCAGAAACCTGGATCTGGGACACTTGGGTACCTCATTCTTCCTTACTAGAGAAAGATACATTCCTTGTCAGGAGACCACGGAGGTAAATACTTCAAAGTATGAATGTCTTCCTAAAAATTTTTCCACTTCCGTGGCTTACAGACCATTAATTAACTATGTTTAAGACCAAGCATGGCCCAATTGAAGAAGTAATGTCTCTGCTTTAAGAATAAAGGGATTATTCATCAAGTGAACTGCAAAAACTGGCTAATATGTCCAGGCAGGTCATAGGAGAACATGTCTAGAAATAAATCTTCAGAATGATGGACAAGGGGCGTATAGGAAATGTAGGACACATAGTAGATGCTAAAGATATATTTACATAACAAAATGAATTCATACCTAAATATATGTATTTTGAGGGATGAATGTCTACATCTATAGCTAATTAGTATATCTAATTACATATTTCTCTGAAAATATTTTAATTCCAGAAAATGAAAGTATATATTAAACATAAGAAAAGAATAATCTCGCATTAATCAATATTTAAAGTACACGATGATCATAAAATGTAAATAGGTATCCTTAATAAGTTAAGTCCAAATGCACAGGATATCATTTATGAAAAGAAAATCTTGAAAAGTATCCAGAACAGTCATTTAACAGATTACATCAGCTACATCTCTTTTCAAAATTAAGATGTAAGAAGTATATGCATTTTTAATAAATAGACTTAAGATATATATAAATATTGCACTTACCCTTACTTGACCCACAAAGGCATTGGCTTCTTCCTCCACCACAGATAAATTTCTAGATAGATAGGTATCAAACACTGGAGCATTGTCATTGACATCTGTCACCACCACATTTATTGTGGCAGTTGAAGTCTTAAAAGAAAAAAAAGAATTAATGTGAGAAAAGTTATTTTTATTTTGAATTCAGTTAAGTGGTCATC